GGGGGGGGGGGGGGGGGGGGAGAATCGAATTCGTTTCGATTTCGATTCCAAAATCGAAACGATTTCAAATTCGATTTCGATTCTGAAAGCGAAACGAAATCGAAGGTGATTTCAAAGTTGCAGTAGCAGGAGGAGAAAATATGGAGAAAAAAAAGGAGGGAAAAAAAAAAAAAATGTTGCTTACCTGGCGCACGGCAGCAAGGATCAAGGTGGCGAGGGCGACGGAGTGCTGACGTGGCACGGCAACGATGAAGATCTCGGCGAGGAGCGCCGGAGGGAGGTCACGACAGCGACGATGGTCCAGGTGGCGATGATCACGGCGGTGTCGAAGGTCTACAGCGACGATGGAGGGAGCAACCAGCTCCTATACCAGTGTAACAGGCACTGGACAAGGAGAGCCGAGGGAGAGGAGAGAGAGAGGGAGAGAGTGAGAGCACACACACACACCCACTCACTCGACACGACTGAGGGTCGGACGCAGACACAGTGGCAAAGACACAAAGTCGAAGTCTTGGATTCCGAATGTCGAAACAGGAGCAAGTCACACTGAGTACGAGTACAGCAGCTGGAAACTGGTACAAGACTGGGTCCCCGTACTGTACGGGGCACCGGTATAAGTACCGGGTGTCCAGTACAGTACCGGGGGCAGATCTCCAAAAGCCCCGAGGGCAGAATTGAAAAGTGCGGTATTTGAAAGTGGCGCCCGAATTGCAGCATGGCGCCAGTTGTCCAAAATCCGATGGTACCAAAGGAGGGGTTTGGAAAAAGGGTGCCAGGCCGAAAACGGGAAGCAGCAGAAACAACAAAAAGATGGACCAGGGATCGAGGCCTGGCGGAGTCTGTAACACTCAGGGTCTGCGCGACTGTTGACCCTACGGCCCCTGAACTGCTGGCCTGGGAACTCTGCTGCGCAGCAATTGCCATGGCTGCTGAAGCTGCGGCTTCACTCGCGAAAGCCCTGTTGGCCTCTGTTGCCCTAGCTCTCATCTACTGTTGCCGCCTCTCCCTTTGCTGGCGGAACAATAATCTATCACCCTCGGGTCCTAATGCCACGCGGGCAATCGGGCGTCTAGCCGATTGCAAGATCTGGTCGTCCTCACTTGTGATATCCCAATCGCTCATATTCTACAAAATTATACACGCTCTGCACTAGGTCACTCTTTGGTGCCTACCACAGAGTAGTGCACAGACCGATTTAAAATAATTAAAATAATTAATCGTTGGCTGCGTTAGAGTAGATACATTTGGGTTTAACAGGTAAGTTCAGATTCCTACAAACGAAACTTTTGACTAGTTCGCAAACAGAAAGCACAATGAACAGAAAACAGTTCTAACTATGCTGTCTGTCAGATGTTAATGGTTGTACATCTAACTCGTCAAAATAAAAATAGAATCATTTGTTGGGTCTGTTTGCAGAATGGAATCTTGCCCAAACTTATCACCTGGAATCTACCCCTCCCTCAGTTCTTCCTGAATGTCTCTTGTCGTCAACGTTCCTGAGCAATTGGAACAGCATGCGTGTCTAAAGGTGTGCACACGGCCCACCCCTGTGCCCTGAGTGCTGTTGAGCTGGCCAGCCCTGCATCGTATTTATCCTCGCGTGCAGCGAGCCTTACACCGACCAATTGGTTGATCAGGAGTCCTTTTTATGGAAGTCGTCAAGAATTATTTAAACCACCAGTACTTGGCCCAGGTATCGGCCGCGGGCGATTCCCATTAACGCGCCGGTAGTTGTGGGCTTTTGGGCACCGAACCGCAATGGCTGGAAGCGCCAACCAAAATCAAAACGAAACAGTGCCCCGACGACTCGACAAAACTTGGCGCGCAGGGGGTATCCCGACTCGACATCAATAGCTGGGCCAAGTACTGGTGGTTTAACGTCGCAAAGAAAACGACGATCGAAGCCAATGGAAGGTCCCCGCCGGTATTTATTTATAGACGTCCGGTCTCGTCTTTCCCGTAGGGCTGGCCTGCCCCTCAGAACCCGTTTATAGCGCAGCGAGCAGACAAAGGACAAAGCAGCAAAGCATGTGTGCTCTACTCCCGGTGGGTTGGCATGGTGATCGTGACCCACTGCTTCGTCCAGGGCCCTTGAGATAGCATTGCCCTCTCCTTCCAGATGCTCCATGTGAACATTGACAACTCTCAAGATTGAGCGCACGCGACTCCTCACATGAGAGGACTCTCAAGACAGAACACACATCCTCACGGTAAGAAGTGTCGAAGAGCGTAGATAAGGTGAGGTGCAACGTACCTCAAAATAGCTGCCCCCAACCATAGATATTCTCACTTGATGACCCGATGTTGATTGTGATGACCAATCGCTGCCTCAGCACAACCAGCATTGCACCACCGTTCCACCTCAGCATCAATCACACATTAGACAATTCTCATCACACTGCGAACACTCAATCATCACCACATAGTAGCCTTCCTGACAATACCCCTCACCTCCTGGGTCGCCTCACTCGTCTCCACCCTCCTCACTACACACCTCCCACGACCGCTCACCCAGCAGACCGCATGCATGTACCGCAAAGGTAGAAGACAAGCGCCAGATGAGCGCATCGTACCACAACTCCGATACAAGGAATATGAGCGATAGCGAACTTCAGAAATCAAACAGCATCATACACATGAGACCAGATAGTCGTGACCTCGAACCAATAACAAAATTTGCATCACGAGTTCCACCAAATAAGAGCACAGCAAAAGCTCTTGATTGACAATGTTGGAATAGTCTCATCATCATCAACGAAGAACCAATGTCGATATCCTATCTGGCGCTCGATGCACAGACTACAGATGGCAGATTCTATCCAACCTATCTACGATGTCGCTAATGACGTCAACAACTCCCCGAAGTACGACCAGATCTCGGCCAATGTCGTTCGCCTCAAGCACCAGGTATGTCTCTTGTATTACTCACAACCTCGATCCCCAACTCACAGATGCCACTTGCACCCAAGAACCACCATGCGCCCCATCCAACATACAGCAGCGCAGCTCGGCTATGGTTGCCTGCTCCTTCCAGCTCGCCCGTGAGCGCGTGAGCGTTGGCTAGCGTTAGCACAACAGCACTTGCGCAGCATGCAGCCAGTGCCCGAATGTCCAATGCGTGGGCAGGCCCTTTCCTAAATGGAAGTGGCCTGCCCGCTTGCGCGCAGCTTGGCTGTGCTGGGCCCCTGCCGAGAAGCTTCCGGTTGGCCCAGAGAGGCTGAGGCCCAGTCCAAACAAATCAGGCCCTGGGCCTGTGGTGGTTGCCCGTATCAAACTGCCCGTGGCCTTTGTTCGGTCCATGTAGCGGATTTGGCCCAGGGCCTGCCTCAGTTACATTGGAAAGAAGCAGCCTAGGCCTGGGCGCTCTCAACCAACTGGCGCTGCGCAACTGCATGAATTTCCCCAGTTGTGTGGTGACCCCAAAAATGGCCTGCAAGCCTCGGTCGAGCCTGCCTTCACTTAGGGCGCTGTGCTGAAAATAGGGCCTAGTAAGGCGTATCGAGGCCCTGTGCCTCGCACACGGCTCAGACGGCCCATGCAGGCTATCTGAAGAGTCCTCGCAGCCATGTAGCACAGACCCCCCCACCAAAATCGAGGCCGGTGGCCAAATATATACTCAAGATCCGAATTCAGGTCTGTGTTTCAGCAGTTATGGGTTGCTCACGTAGCTAGACTCTGTTGGTCTCTGCACGTGACTCTTAGGGCTTGGCTGCACTACTCACGGAATGTGCAAAATTAGAACGAGTCTTCTGCAGAACGTGGAATAATACGCCACCATATGTTTTGTCTTTTGTGCATTTAGTGAGTAGAGGCCCTTAGGGCCATTGCACGTATTCCTAGGAAAAGAAAAACCAGAAAAGAAAAGAAAAGCGAGAAAACAGAGAAATAGTGACCCATAATCGAGATGCACAGACCTGAATTCGAATCCAGACTATATATTCTCTCCCCACCCTCACGGAGTACAAGTTTGAAGTGTATCTCGGCATGATGAAACAATTTTCACCTGTTAGTTACTAGTAGCAAATGCAGACCCCTCGATCCCTAGTTCTCACCTTACCTGTGTACAGTATCTGTGTCGACCCTAAGTGTTTGAACCCGTAACCTGTGTTTTGACAGTTGTTGTTGTCTATCGTAGGTCTGCGTAGCGGTAGGGGTTTGATCTGTAGATTTGTCAAGTAGGAGTCACAACACTGTAGAGGTCGTAGCTGTAAGAATCCTGAAAGGTCAAGGTCGTAGCTGTAGGAATCCTGAAAGGTCAAGGTCGTAGCTGCTACAGTCCTGAAAGGTCAAGGTCGTAGCTGCTACAGTACTCGAAAAGCCAAGTCCACAGACTTTCGGAAGGTCCGGAAGTGGCCTTTTGAAGCTGCCTCACGTTTCAGTCGGAGGCAAGTGGGCAAGTGGTGAGCCCAACTGCATTACGTCGACAGTGCGACTGCATTGAGTTGGTAGTGCAAACCCATGCAATCAGCGGTATCGGTCCAGTCAGTCCCAGTCCAAGTCAAGCAAGTACCATGAGGGAGTGTGTGCACCATGGGCTGATGGAAAGGGGCAGACCAACGAGTTACACCATGGGCCGATGGAAAGGGGCAGACCAACGAGTTACAGAAGTATAAATCAAGGGGCAGCGCCCAGCCATTCGTTCATTCGTGCATAAGCCTTGCGGAAGCGCTGCCACAACGACTTGTGCGAGGTGGTCTACAGTGAGCCCGAAGACGAAGTGGGCGAGAAGGAAGCTTAGCCATAGCGATAGAGTAGCAGCGGCCATAGCCGCCATAGCTGTAGAAGTGTGCGGGTGTGTGTGTGTACATAGTGTATTGCGTGTGGGATATCCAGGGTGATCCTGTGTGTGAACAACAGTGTTGAGCAAGTGACGAACAAAGAGTTGTACAGACGATGTGCAGCCATAGCCATTTGAAGTGAACTTGTATTCGAGTTGCGTTCTTGGTTGCTATATCTCTAAGTTATGAGTGGCCGCTTGATGCCAGTTTGCTGCGCAACCTGTTTGCATGCATGTGAAGTGTGAATGAAAGCGAGTCTGATTGCACTGGTGTCGGAGATGGTACCCGCTATCCCATGCGCCATCGCCGTTGCAGCAGGAGAGAGATGCGCGCCGTAGGGCGGCATAGTTGAAGAAGGTGCCGTGTACCTGCAAGGAAGACAACGGCAAAGGGGAGAGAGAGAGAGAGAGAGAGAGAGCTGAGTGATACAAGATTGGTTCGCTACGCACCTGCGCTGAAGACATCACCACGGAAAGAGAGAGTTGAGTGATACGAGATTGGTTGTGCGGTCCAAGACGAAGTAGCGGCCATAGCCGCAGAGCTCGGGACACGGCGGAGAGAGGAAGGAGGGACAACGAAGTGGAAGGCAGACAATGGGGGTGAAAAAAAGGAGAAAGGGCGAGAAAGAAGAAAGGTGGAGGAGGAAGAGAAGGGAGGTTGGCGAGGAAGAAGGTGGTGGCAGCCATAGCCGACCAGAAGGTTGACCGGAGCGTTGACCAGGGTGTGACCGTGTTGACCAAGCATTGACCAAGCGTTGACCAAGGCGTTGACTGGAGCCGTTGACCACGATTTTGACCAAGCTGGAGTTGGTATAATCTCGCCAAACCATACTTGCAAGCGGACGGACCGGATGAGCGTCCGGTCCGGTCCGGTTTGCCGCGTCCGGCACCCTCCCCCAAGATCGGACATAGCCGGACCGGACCGGACGGGACCGGACGGGGTACGGTCCGGTGGTCTTTTGTCCGGTACGGTTTGGTCCGGGACTGGAGCGGTGCCTTCCCCACACGGTCCGGGTTGGTAGGGACCCTTTTTTTTTTTTTTTTTTTTTTT